CGCGTCTAGAGTTTTGGCCGCCTCCTCCGGTCTTCTGGCCCACTGTGCGGAGGAGCTCCGTCTCTCTCGCCCCTCCGCGAGGTGCCCCGTGGGTGTGCGAGAGAGATAGCCAGTGCGGTCCGTCCGAAGCAGGCGGCTTGATCCGCGCCCGTCACTGCGTACCCCCAATGACGTCACTGACGGCGACGCAGCGACGTCACGCTGGCGACGCGGCGTGATTTATTTATCACGGGAATGCGTGAGACAAAGTGTGAGAAAGAGAGACGAGCACAGACAAAGTGCGACAAAGAGGGGCGACGCTTGGTCGGCGCGTGCGGCGCCTTCGCTTGCGCTTCCGGCGCGGCGACGCCGGGGACGCGTCGCGGAGGGATGCGCCCGGACGACCCAGATCCAGCGACGCTCCCACGGCGCACAGTGGGCCAGAAGACCAGTGGAGGCGGCCAAAATTCTAGACGCGTTTTGAGCTCCAGAGTCGCTAAATGGGACTCGAACCGACCGTGTGACCCCATCAATGGATTGCTCTCCGAACGAGGAATCCATTGGTGTGGTCACACGGTCAGTTCGAGTTCCATTTAGCGACTCTGGAGCTCAAAACGCGTCTAGAGTTTTGGCCACCTCCACCGGTCTTCTGGCCCACTGTGCGGCGTGGCGCGGCGTGGCGCGGCGCGGCATCGGGACAATGGATCGCGTCCTTCGCCGCCCAGAGTGTGTACTTTCACGAGTAAGGCCCGGGCGGGACGCCCTGTCTCTCTTGTCTCCGTGACAAGCAGTTTCGAATTTTCGACGGACATTTTCGAAAAGTTCACTTGAGCCTCGTCTTCTTTTTTCGCGACCCTCGTTGTGCGTGACCGGCCGCTCGATAAGAAAGCCGCCTGAAATCTCAGGAAAATCGTTACGTTGGGTTGCAGAGCGGACCGGCCGCGTGCGTGGCGGTGTGGCAGTGTGGCGGTTTGTTGTGGTGCCGTCGCCGTGGCAACGCGACGGCGGCGCGGTGGCGGTGTGGCGGCAGTGGCGGCGCGACCCCACCCCTGCGGCCTTGAGGCTTCAGGTGCGCTGCCTGGCCAGCGCCTGCCGGCCGATTCAGAGGAGCGGTTCGTCGCTCTGTCTCTCTCGCACCCTTATGGAGAGCCCCATGAGTGCGAGAGAGACAGCGCGACGAAAAGGACTCTCGGAATCAGTGTGCTGGCGCAGCAGGCGCAGTGCGTCGCCCGCAGTCGCCCGGCGTTGCCTGGCGTTGCTTTGCCTCGCCGCGGTGCGGCTGGACAGGGGCGGCGACCGGTACTCGCAGGGGCGGCGCCAGGGCTCTTCGAAACCGACAGAATAGGCCGCTGGGCCTCAACGCATCCCAGCAGCCCCGCCGGCCTCCGCCTGGTGGCGGCGGTGCGTTTCTGTTCGCTATGCAATCGCGCGGGGCGCAGCAGCCAGGCCGGCCGGTTCGCTTCGGTTCGACCGTTACCCGGAAACCGCAGAAGGTCCGCGCCAGCGCGCTGTTCGGCGGGAAAGCATGCAGCGGCGGCCGAGTTTCTGCAGTCTGTTTTCATTAGTTTTTTGTGGATAGGGAAGTCTGAACCGTAGGGACCGTAGGTGGCACCGTTGGCGGCGGTGGCGGCGACCGCAGAGTGCAAGCCGAGTGCATGCGCACCGCGCTCCAGCCGCTCCAGCCGCTCCAGCCTCCGCCGGCGCGCCGCGTCGCGCACTTCATTCCGCCGTCATGATTCTTATTTTCTCGCGTGCCGTTCAAATTTCCACTCGGAAAAAAAGAAATAACGATTATTTTCCACTCGGCTCGGAAGGCTCCGGGGCGGCGAGACCCCGTTTGGCTTCGAGTCCAGCCGCCGGCGTACCGGCGTACCCGCCCAGCCCGGCCGGCCGAATACGCGCCGCCAGACTACTCATTCCGGGGTCGTCGCTCTGTCTCTGTCGCACTCGTGGGGGGCCTCACGCGGGTGCGAGAGAGAGGAGAGAGAGAGAGAGAGAGAGAGAGAGAGAGAGAGAGGCGACGCTCCGGAGTCGGTCGGCTGCAACGCCACGGTTCAGTGAACTGTCGCCCCTCCCTAACCCGACGGGGGCAGTCCCTGCAGGTCCCTGGGGACGCTCCGTCAACGACGTGCCCCTTATCACCCTTTCAACGCGTCGCTCTGTCTCTCTCGCACCCGTGTGGAACGCCCCACGAGTGCGACAGAGACACAGCGAGGGAATCCAGAGCAGCGCGTCAATAAAAACAAAGGGATTCCTCGGGTCTGTCGTATCTCTAGACGGCTAGTCGAACAGAACGGGGTGAGGCTGGACTACCAGACCAACCACATGGTTGTTCTTACTAATCCCAGGCGCCTTGGTCGCGTTCGAACTGCCGACCTGGTGACTCAGAAGAGCAAAGTGACGCACTGAAAACTTTGCAAAAACGTTCGGTTCCATTACTTTTTCGCCTCCAGGCTGTGATCCCCTCGTGAGTCATGTGTTTATAGACGGCGGCGGCGGCGGCGCGCGTAACTGCCGCTCCCCGCGACGCAGTTGCGTGCCTTTGCTGGAGGCCGCCGATGACGGCCGTATGAGTGCGCATCCCGCCTCCGAGACCTTGGCGACCGGCTTGCATCTGCAGCGCCGCTGCCGCCGCGCCACCGCCACTGCTTATTTTCAGTCTTTGCCTTCTTTTCCGCGTCCGCGCCGAGCTGCCAGGAGGCTGAGCAGTGCTTTCGTCGCTCTGTCTCTCCCGCACTGCCGGCCCGTTCCGGACGCGTGCGAGAGAGACAGAGCGATGACGGATAATCAGCCTGCGGCCGATCTGCCAGCAGTTCCTGCTGCCATCGGGAAAGTCTGATCGCCTCGCGTCTGCCCGTCCTTGCCCTTGCCCCTGCACCGCCTGCTCCTCTCCGCGCCCCTCCCCCACCCCCTTCCCCGGGCCGTCCGGCCGCGGCAGGCTGGGTCCGAGCGGGGCGCCTCTCTCTCCCACACTCGTGGGCGCCCCCTACGGGTGCGAGAGAGACAGAGCGACGGGCCCTCGCTCAGCGCAGCGTGGCGGCCCCACCGGACTGAGTCCCGCTGCCGCTTCCTGCCTGCCCCTAGATTCCAATTAGATTTCGATCCGTCCGGACTTTGTCATTATTTTTCGATCCAGCAGAGGGAGACAAAAGTTTCATTTTGATGCGCACATGCTCAGACATTTATCAAAATTTCATTATTGTCCTTCGTGCCTGTGCATTTTCTTTATCACGAAGTGACGTTGGGTGCGCTGAATTTTTCATCGTGATGATGATGATGATGATGCGGCACTTGTGAGCAGAGAATTAGTACTAATTTTTAAGCAGCACGCATGGAGCAGCTGCTGCATATGCAGACTCGACGGCCTCTGCAGCCGGCAGACAACTAGGCAGAAATCCGGCCTACATCGGCTGGCCAAGGCTTCTCTAGGCTTGCCTAGGCTTGCCTAGGCTTCCCTGCCTACCTCAGCCTACTGCCCCGCGCATTCCTGGGGCGGGTGTGGGAGGCGTCGTGGTGCTCGACAAACGTTCTGCTGACGGGGCGACGGGGCGCGTTCGGACGCGGATGGGTTGGGTTAGGTTTGGTTAGGTTAGGTTGGCATCCTGGTACCGTAGGCTTACACTGTAAGAAATTCCGTACTTTTGTATGGAAATAATACAGAAAAATATAGTACGGAGGTACGGAGAAAAGTACGGAACGTTCCCTACTTGCTTCATATGAACCCATGTAAATGGGTACGGAAAAAAAGTACGGAACGTTCCGTATAGTTGGCAAGTACGGGCGGTCCAGGCAAATTATTGACCAGACTTTTTCCGTACTTTTTTCTCACAGTGTAGGTGTTGCCCATCATAAAACAAGGAAAGTCCCGAAAATTCCAAAGTCCTCCATAACTGCGAGAAGACTAATTGGGTCAACTGTTTGTCTGAGAAAAAGTGTGAATGGCCTCTCTGGCGCGCGAGTGGTTTGCTCGAAGTTCAGACTCCTGAAGTGATTCTCACGGTGGCAGCAGCGCGCTGCCGCGAAACAATAAGAGCCGAAAAGCAGCGAAACTGTCTGGGCAGTCTGGCCGAGCGGAACCCAGCAACCTAGCCTGGCGCAGCCTGGACAGGCAAGTGCCGTTGTCCATCCGTCCGTCCGTCTCTCTCTGTCTCTCTTTCTGTCCCGAGGCGGCGCCACGGCTCCTCGGGCGGCGCGACGGACGCCAACAAGTCCCGTACCGCGGACGAGTACCGTGGCGCGGTGCCCCGCCGTGCCGTGCCCCGCCATGCCCACGGCGCACGCACACCGCCGCCGGCGCTCGGCGTCTCGGACACTCAGGGTACCGCACGGTGCGGTGCGGCCGGGCGGTTCCGAAGAGTCGTCCCGTCGCTCTGTCTCTCTCGCACCCCTCCGAACCGCCCGGCCGCCCCGCGAGTGCGACAGAGAGAGAGACAGCCGCGCCGCGGTCTCACGCGGCCCTGGCGCCGCCGTGCGGGCGTGTGTGACTGCGCTCAACACAAATCTAGCGAAATTCCACTTTCCTGGAACGGCGCATTGAGTGTCGCGAACGGGGCCAGCGGTCCCAGTGCTCGTACACTGGCAAACTTAAACTTGTCGCTCCGCGCGCAGAAAATGGGCAGCGTTTTTCGAGCTTTTGTGGAGCGACGCGTCTTGCCTAATGAACACGGCGACGCGGCGGCAAGGCCGGCGATTGACACGCCTCGCTTTGCGTCGCTTTGTCGGGGAAGTGCAGCGGGTGTCCGAGACCTCGCGCGTCCGCGTCCATTTCCTGGTGGCGATTCTGCACGCCTTTCCGATATTTGGCCGCCTCGCGGAAGCGGACGGTGTGGCGGAACATTGAATTAGTATTGAAAGGGCGGGTGCCTTGGACCGGGCCAAGGACGCACTGGCGGCAGCCATGGCCGTGTGACTGCCACATCCGCCGGCGTAACGCGCCCACTGTCCACCAATCACGTAACACGAGCAGTGTTTCTGCTTTTCCCGCGATCCCGGTTTCCTTATTTGCCGCCTTGTTTGCGCAGGTCATGCGAGGTGATGCCTGAGGGAGCCCGCGGGGCCAGCCCGCTTGGCCAATGGCCGCACAACCTGAGCGCCACCTTGGCGTGCCTCGGCTGCACCGTCGGCCTCTTCAACATCTCCAGGTTCGCGGTGCTCAGCGTGCAGTTCGGAGGTAAGACACCGCGACACTGCAAAACGGAAATTGGAAAATACCGGAAATTGCGTTTCAAAGTTCTTTCGGCTTCTGTTTTAAAAAAAAGTTTCTCTGCACTTTTTGATTCACTATTTAAAAATATTGGAAAATACTGGAAATATCGTTTCAAAGTTCCTTCGGCTTCTGTTTAAAAGAACGTATTTTTTGCACTTCTATACATGCCGGAAACTCACACATTTCAGCGGCATTTTTTTCCCCACCAAGTTTTCTGGGAATTTCTAAGTTCTGTTTTTTAAACAGTGTACCAAAACGCGTAGTTTTCTCGTGTGTTGTGCTCGCGTGTTGGCCGCCATAAAACCCACGCGCTCGGACGCATCATCGATCCTTGGCGTTTAGTCGTCTGTAGAATGTAGTTGGTTTGCTCATCGATGTCCTCGCTTCCGTTTGCAGCCAACTTCATAATCCAGTTCCTACTCCTGTCGGCCGTCTTCGGCGTGCCGCTCTACACATTTCAAGTATGCCTGGGTCAGTTCCTCGCGGCGGGTGCCGTGGACATGTGGAGGATATCGCCCGTGTTCCAGGTAAGCTCAAAACAAAGTTGTTGTTGTTGTTGTTGTTGTTGTTGTTGTTGCCGCGTGGTTTGAATCACAACGCTTCCGCAGGGCATCGGCATCGCGCTGCTCGTGTCGCAAGCCCTCATCGGCGTGTACAGCACGGTGGGCGTGTCGTGGATCTTCATCTACTTCAGGGACTCGTTCATCACGAAGCAGGACCGCTACCGCTGGGCCGAGCCCTTCGACCTCTACAGAGAAGGTGAGCAGCTCGGGATAAAGGAGTGTAGCAGAGTGTAGGAAGCGCTGCTGGCCGCCTTGCTGGCGGGGCACAGTGGGCCAGAAGACCAGTGGAGGCGGCCAAAACTCTAGACGCGTTTTGAGCTCCAGGGCCGCTAAACAGGACTCGAACCGAACGTGTGACCCCACCAATGGATTGCTCTCCATTGCTGGGGTCACACGTTCGGTCCGAGTCATTTTTAGTTACTCTGGAGCTCAAAAGGCGTCTGGAGTTTTGCCCTCCTCCACCGGTCTTCTGGCCCACTGTGCTGGGTCGGGGGCCGCGGGAGTGAGTGGCGTGGCGTGGCGTGGCCTGGCCTGGCCGGGTACACAGATATGAAATCCGGCTCACGCGCAGTGCTTACTGCTCCACGTTGTGGCGTGCGGCACCGTGTGGGAAGTAGACTAGGTGGTGTATGGCAAAAGTCCCGGAGCAGTGTATTCCAGGCAGAGCCACTTGTCGCTCTGTCTCTGCCGCACCCATGTAGGACGCCCCGTGAGTGCGAGAGAGAGAGACACATGCCACCATGGGAATCAGCCTACAGGTCGGTCCCCTTCGGGCATTCAAGTCCAGCCTGCCACCGTCAATGGACGGACGTCGTGGGTACAGCGAATTTCAACTCATAACTTGACGAGTGGGAATGTAAAGCGAAATGTGCGGCCTGACGGGGTCACCCTACAGGTAGCTCGTTGGCTAAGAGCCCGAAGAGCAGCGCACAGTGGGCCAGAAGAAAGACCGGTAGAGGCGGTCAAAATCCCGGACGCGTTTTGAGCTGCAGAGTCGCTAAATGGGACTCGAACCGAACGTGTGACCGTGACCCCACCAATGGATTCCTCGTTCGGAGAGCAATCCATTGGTGGGGTCTTGCGCTCAGTTAAGTCCTGTTTAGCGACTCTGAAGCTCAAAACGCGTCTAGGGTTTTGGCCGCCCGCGCCGGTCTTCTGGCCCACTGTGCAGCGCGGAGAGGTGAACGTACAGAGGTATTGTGGGAACGTGAATTTAAACAGGCTGAGGCTCGGCGACTCGGCGCGCATAGCGGAAAGCGTCGTCCCTCCCTGTGTGTAATTATGCTCCCCTCTGAGGCTCGGCTGGGCCATCCCGGCCATCCCGGCCACAGCCAGCGGCCGCATTCCTAAAATCACACTTGCCCGCGCTTCGCCGCCTCGCCGGCCTTTGCCGAGGCCTTTGCCCGCGCTTCGCCGCCGGTCCGAAAACCTGGAACACGGAGGCAGGTCAGTCACTCGGGTACATCTGGAGTGGTTGACCCATACCGCGTTATTGCCTCACACCGACACACTCACTCTCTCTCTCGCTCCCACTGACTCGACTCACCCATATGACTCACTCGCTCTCTCACTCTGGACCAATCGCAGAGATGAATCGCGGCGCGAAACTCTCGTCCGCCAATCAGAGCGTTAACCTTGCCGCTTGTCATCACCGCGTCGCGGTGGCCGCGCCAGACCACGCAACCTGGCGAAATGCAATTTAATGCAATGCAGCGCGGATGCTGCGCCGCGGCCGAACGGGAAACACAACGACACACTGTCTTGCAAAGAGAATCGAATTGGAGAAGCCTTTGCAACTCTCGCACCTTCCACGAAAGACGACTTAATAACCCGTTTTCTGTTGTCTCCCCCGCAGACCAAAGACTGTACTACAACGCCACGCCGCACCTGGAGCACACCGTGCCGGACTACCTGAACGGCGTCGTGCTCCAGCGCCACAACCTGGCCCAGCCTGAGAACTCCTTCGGCCACATCAAGTTCCAGGTGGCCTTCAACCTGGCCGTCGTCTGGATGATCGTCTTCGTCTCGCTCAGCAAAGGTGGGTGCGCGGAAAATTTTGGGGGCTCCAGGAATATTGGTGGATTTGGAAGACGGTTTTTCCGGGTGACGCCCCGGCGCGACGCCGCCCGCGGACCGGCCCGTAGCCTCCCCGCCGCGCGCGCCGGCGTGGCGGGATTGCCTACCCTGGGTCTCGCAGGCGCTAGGCTTGTCTACTTCACCGCTCGTTTCCCGCAAACGGCCTCAGTTTTTCCTAACGGGGTGCCTAAAAAAATCAGTTTCCGCGAAGTCTTGTGCGAAATGTCGTCCCCCCCTATCCGTGCACTACATGACATCAAAGGCAGGAGCGCCTTGGTCATACTGCGAGTGGGGGCTTGTAGTCGCTTGAGGCTCTTCTCCGCCGGGGTAAAGTGTCACCCCAGTAAGGAGGACCATGTCTCGTTTTGCAGTGCAGGCGAGCATGTGTCGGGCCCGAAACGGCGCACGATCAATTGTGGTCTAGCCCGTAATGGTAATGGCAAATGGGCGTAGACTGCCCCGCAACGCAGGCGAGTGTTGCGGGCTGGCCTACCCTCGACTTGGCGGGCGCTTTTCCGCCGTCACTGTTTTCACGGTTTTCTTTCTCGCGCATTCCGCAGGGCTGCGGTCCTACGGCAAGGTGGTGTACGTGTTCTCCGTGGTGCCCGTGTTCGGCATGCTGGTGCTGTGCACCAAGATGCTGGGACTCATGCCCCGCGACTCGAACCACCAGGTGTTCCCGGAGACCGAGTGGACCGACTTCTTCACCAACTCGGAGGTGAGTCGAGCTGAGAGGAGGAAGTCTTGCTTCCCTTTGCGATTGGCTGACGCGGCCTCACGCTTCGCTGTGATTGGCTGCCGCAGTGCTGGGTGTCCGCCACCACCGAGGTGTTCCTGACGTGGGGGCTGCTGGGCACGGCCGCCATGCAGATCGCCTCGCACAACAAGCAGAAGAAGTTCCTGCAGCGCGACTCGAGCCTCGTCATCGTGTTCACCGTGTCCATGCTGCTGCTCGCCGCCTTCCTGGCCAACATGTGCGTGGCCCTCCTCAAGGCCAACGGCTTCAACTGCGTGCCCAGCTCTTTTGGTGAGCCCATTTCGGAACCCGAACGTGTTCAAAGTAGAGAAACGGCCGTGTAACTAACTTTTGGTGCCGTTCCAGAGCGGATGTCGACGTACCAGTTCCTGCAGCCCGTGGTGCTGGACCGCTACCAGGCGCCTTCGCAGTACGGCAGCACCCGGCCGGCCAAGATGTCGCACTCGTCCTACGTGATGGGCGACCGCGTGCAGCGCCCGGGCTCCAACACGGCGCAGGAGAGTGGCTACCAGGTACACACTGTCAAAATTTTCTGTCGTAAAACACACACACACACACACACACACACACAATAATCATGTCCCTGCCTGCTCCCCAGGTCCTGCGGCTCGCCACCGAGCTGGTGCCCGCCACGCTGGCGCTGCTGGGCGCCGACCAGGTGTCTCCGTTCTGGGCCGTGCTCTTCTACTTCGTGCTCATCCTGTTCGGCATCGCGCAGCAGCTGGCCATCTGGCACTGCGTCATCACGGGCATCATGGCCATCAACGCGCCCACCCTCAAGTCCTGGGAGACGACCATCACCTTCTTCTCCTGCGCGTGCGGCTTCATCCTGGGGCTGCCGATGACCACCGAGGTAGCCGTCGACCGCCAACTTCGTTCGTCAAAGTTTTTTTCCCCCAGTGACCCGGAAAATTGATTGAGCCATTTCCTTTGCAGCTGGGCATCTTCGTGGTGTACTTCCTGGACTACTGCGTGGGCAGCGGCTGGTGGATCATGGCGCTGCAGCTGCTGCAGGTCGGCGCCGTGCTCATGGTGCGCGGCAGGCCCTACAGTGGCGAGAACATCGCCGGCATGCTCTTCCACAAGACCACCTCCTGCCTCATCACCTGGGCCGCGCCCATGCTCACCTTCACCTGGAACGTCATCCTGCCCGTCATCCTCATGGTGGGTACCAGGACGATCGCTCTGTCTCCCTCGCACCCCTACGGGACACTCCACGAGTGCGAGGGAGACAGAGCGACGACAGCACCGTCGGCGCGTACCTGGCCTGGCGCACAGCAAGTGGGGCGTGAACCGCATTTAAAGTGGCGACGCCCCTTCCCTTCGCTGCTTCGCTGCTCGGGATGCAGTGTGTTGTGCAAGCGCCGCGCCGTGGCCGCACCGACGCGGCAGTGTCTTTTCGTGTTCGAGCCGGAAAGGGGACACTTACTTGGCACGAACAGCGATCGGGCGAAACAGCAGACGACAGTGATTTAGCAACGCGTGATCGAATGACGTGCTCCGGGTTCAAACGCTGGCGTCGGCGGGGAGCTTCATCCTGGTTCTGTTTCTGGGCGCGCAGGTGGTGTGCATCACGGTGTTCAAGAAGGGCGGCTCCAGGGACCTGTACTCCTGGCACGTGGGGCTGGGCTACGACTACTGGCCGCTGTGGGCGCGCGAGCTGGGCACCATGCTGCAGCTGCTGCCGCTCCTCACGGTGCCCGTCGTGGCCCTCATCCAGACGTGCCGCTACCTCTCCGGCGGACCCCCCGACATATTCGACGTGAGTATACCGACGGGTCAGTTTGAGTTTGAGTCTTTGAGCGATTGAGCGCAAAGTCATATGATTTTGACCTCCACAGCGAATCCAACTTCTATACCGTCCTCCCGTGGACGGTGACGGCAGTCTTCACGACCTCTCGACGCAGACGGACGCGCCGGCGGACGGCGGGCCTGGCGGCGCGAGCGGCGGCAACCAGGAGAACGCCGTGATCGAGGACCCGCCGCCCAAGTACACGCCGCCGCCGTCGTACACCACGGCCACGGGCGCGAGGATCGCCAAGATGCTGCGCCAGAGCTTCCGCCGCAGCGTCCGCCGAATCCAGCTGGCCGTGAGCAGTGTGGGCGCGGCGGGCCCCGGCGCCATGTCCGCCGCGTGGGGGGCCGACGCCGTGCCCGCCGCGCCCGTGGACCAGGGCGTCGCCGGCACCGCCCCGCCCGCGCCCGACCCGGCGCCGTCGCCAGCGCCGCCCGACTACGCCGCCGTGCTGGTGGAGATCAGCCAGGCGTCGTTGCACGACGTGACCATCGTGCTCAACGACGAGGACGCCGCCGACGCCGCCAGCTTACCGCCAGTAGCCGCGCCGTCACCAGTGCCATCGCGCGCGCAGGGGTCGTCGCCTGTGCCGTTGCGCGCGCAGGGAGTCGTCGCCTGTGCCGTTGCGCGCGCAGGGGTCGTCCAGGATGGAGACGTTCCTGCGGCCCGGCGCGCCGTCCGGCGGCCACCAGAGGACGCACTCGTCGCAGATGACGGCGGCCGACGTGGCCAACGTGCTCCGCAGCAGCGTGCGGCGCCCCACGCCGCCGTCGGCCGCCGCCACCGCGGCCACGCGCACGCAGAGCATGTGCGCCATGCGGACGCGGCAGTCGCAGCGGCGCCCGCGCACCATCACCATCGGCACGGCCTCCGCGGCCCCCGCCAGCGTCGCCGTCACTGTCAGCGACGAGGACGCCGTCGACCCCGAGAAGGCCGTCGCGAACCTGAGGCAGGCCGACAACCCCAGCAGGCTGTCGTCCGTGCCCAGCTGCGGCTCCAGCCGTAGCTCGTACTGCAGCGCTGCCGGGGGCGACGGAGGCGACGGAGGCGACGGGGGCGAGGCGGCGTCAGGGCCATGCCGCCCCGAGCACACCGACGTCGACACCGAGGAGGACTCGGACGGCAGCATGGTGTAGTCTCGGCGAGGAGAGGAGTGCGACTGTCAGCCAATCGGGAGAGAGTTCGGATCCCTCCGGCTGTCGTCGCTCACGTGTATTTTTGTTCATTGCTGTGATATTAGAATTCCGACTCGACGAAGTTGGGGTAGCTTCCCGCCATGTACATGTTTAAGGCTGCTCCGCCGGGGAAGTCCTCTGCTAGAAGCGACCATTTTCATTTTAGAAATTGGCGACACGTATTAGCTCCGGTGTACACGATGAAACGCTCGAATTGTTACGTTTGCACGTACATACTAGTAACTTCTGTGAAGTGTGTTTTAAATTATGTACCTGTGTGCAAAGAGGTAGGAAACATCCAATGTTGCATAGTCATCTATTGCATTGAAGTAGCTCCCACCAAGACCATAATATTTTCAGGGAAACGTGCGAGAATTAGGTGTATTTGAATGTGAAATAATATTTATTGTTTAGTATTTTTTGTTCATTTAGACTCAAATGAATTGTTAAATATTTCAAATGGATGCATTCCTTCCCTTTTTTATCAGCTCGAATTATGTAATGACATAATGGCTGCTCTGTTTGAGCGGAGCTCCCATCTCTGTGATATCTTGTAAAAGTTTGTTAAACGGAAATCACAATGTTATCTCATAACTATAAGTCGTCTGAACTGCCGTTGTAAAGTGTACCTCCTTGTTACACTTTTCTATAAAAAAAAAAGAGAAGAGCCTGGGCTCTATGAACGTTTTTAACTTCTCAGATGGGGGAATGCATGCACAACGATTGAAGGTCTGTGATGTAGGTCTTTTTACCTGTCTTTGAATGATTTTTCAATTGTTTAGTAACCATTAGACAGACTGACAATGTGCCTTGTCATCTCAAATGTGTATCATAATACACTTTTACATCCCATCCAATGATTACCATACTGTAAGGGTATCAAGACTGCCAATATTAATTGCTTTATTTTAGATTCAATGTTGTAGTGTGTCTAGATTTCTTTGCTATGATAAATCTTGACAAGAATTAAAATGACTTAATTAAGACTTGTTATGTGGCACTGCCAAGCCAATAACATAATAATGTATAGGCATATTATAGAAATTTTAAGATCCGAAACATCCCACTCATAAATTATTACTGTAACTATTTATTGACGTTTGTAAAGGTGGTTCCTTCCTATCCCATGATCTGGTAAGACATGGGTGACTAACAGTCGAAATCAAAATTTACGAATGTGTGTAAAATCGAGACAACTACGCATCTCGAGACTTTTCTCCTGGAAGTTGCAAGAACCTCTCTTTTGTAGGGTTGCTTCATATGTGATATGACCACCACCTTTTTCGTGCAGTGGCGTGGCGTGTGCAATACACAAGGTGCAATCGGCCCGGTGCTTGTTTCTTCTGTGTTTTTTAAACTAGTCTGTTCATGTGAACTTAAGTCACACGTTCACACCTATGGAGAGTAAAGAAAAATGCTGTGTACGACCTTTGTTCCTTTCTTTCCCCCGGTCCACGCCACCAAAGAGTTTCAAGGAAAATAAAAAACACCGTGAACGAGTCTTAACTAAAACGTTCCTGCTTATTTACATGCTACAAGCTACAATCGAAATATCACAACAACAACAATGTTATTCCTCAGAATTAATTGCTCGCAATCAGTCTAAACACGTCCAGTAGCGCCGGACACATCTTTCCCAAAGTCCAATTCTTACAGTGTGCCTTACTGCTCATTTCCCACTCATCGTGCTGGAGCTGGAGCTGGAGAAGCATCCGCCTCCTGGAAGGCTGCCCCGGTTGCTAAGTGACGTTGAAGGTCCTGGGGCAAACAAGAAACGGAGGAGATTAGTGCGGCAAGGACACGCTGGACCTCCGCGAAGTCCGAGTGTATCCGAGTGGAGGCGGCGCCTGCGCGGTGTGGATAGGCAACCCATCGTACTCCTGAGAGTGGCGTGCGGCGCAGTGGCGGGGCGCTCGCTCAATTCTCGTGGCGGTGGTCGTCCGCTCAAACAATTTTTCATAATTCGTAGCTCGTTGGCTCAAAAGCTCGTTTGCTCGATGGCTCGTTTCTTTAACGAAACGTAGCTCTGCGCCGGTCTCCTGGCCCAGCGTCTCTGGCGTTCGTACCTGGGGGTTGGGACTGCCCGCTGGAGCTGGACGTGGCGAAGCAGTCGTTGTTGTTGGCGGGGGCGGCGGGCGCCACGGGGGCGGCAGCCTCGGCCGCGAAGCCGCTCCGGGACGACAGGGGGCCCGCGGCGCCAACGGAGGCCGCGGGGGCCGCGGGGATGCCGGAGCGCGCCCCCAGAGCCACCTTGCTGGGGGCCGCGATGGCGTTCTCCTCCGTGCAGGCCTTGGTCTTGCAGCGCCGGGTGGCCGTGCCGGTCCTGCCGCAAGAAAACGCACATACATCACAAGTTGACTCGTCAAGTCCACGTTTTACGCGGCCACAACTCGTGAAAGCCGGCATTTTCTAGAGACACTCACCGGACGTCAAGCTGGCCGGCGCCATCGTGCTCCTGGGGTTCTTGGTGGCCGCCGTAGCCTCCAGTGCCCGAGCCGGACTGCGACTGGGAGTTGGAGTTGGAGTTGGATGTGCTGCCGGAGCCGCCCTGGCCGTAGCCTCCGACTTGGTTGCCGCCCGGGCCGTAGCCTCCGACTTGGTTGCCGCCCGGGCCGTGGCCTCCTACTTGGTGGCCGCCCTGGCCGTGGCCGCCCTGGCCGCCACCGGAGCCTGATCCGGCCTGCGATTGCGAGTTGGAGTTGGATGTGCTGCCCGAGCCGCCCTGGCCGTAGCCGCCGCCCTGGGGGACTTGGTTGCCACCGTAGCCGCCCTGGCCGTAGCCGCCTTGTCCCTGGACGCCGCCGCCGCAGCAACCTTGGCCGAAGCTGCCCTGGCCGAAGCCACCTTGACCGAAGCCGCCTTGACCGAAGCCTCCTTGGCCGCCCCCGCTACCCGAGCCCGAGTTGGACTGCGACTGCGAGTTGGAGTTGCTGCTGGAGCCGCTCTGGCCGTTGCCGTTGAAGCCAGGGAAGCCTTGCTGGCCGAAGCCTTGCTGGCCGTAGCCGAAGCCTTGCTGGCCGAAGCCCTGCTGGCCGTAACCGAAGTCTTGCTGGCCGTAGCCGAAACCTTGCTGACCGAAGCCCTGCTGGCCGAAGCCCTGCTGACCGAAACCCGAGTGGCCGAACCCTGACTGGCCGAAGCCCGACTGGCCGTAGCCTTGCTGGCCCCCGAAGCCGAAGTTCGGCTGCTGATAGCCGAAGTTGCCGCCTTGAAAGCCGCCGCCGCCACTCGAAGAGGACGAGCTGGAACTGCTGGAGCTGCAAGAGCGAAAGAGAAGGCGCATGAAAAATCAATCGCTGACGAGGGAAGGACCACACGGGCAATCCCAGACAGAAATTGTTCGTCGAACCGATGGCGAATCAATCTTCCCTCGATCTCATGGTCAAATTACCATCGATCCACAGCGATAATCGATGTTGATTCGACGATCATCGACGCACAGAGTCTGCCTGGGACTGTATAGTCCTACCTGGAGCTGGAGTGGCCGTTGCCGCTGCTCTGCGAGCCGCTCGTGGAGTGCGACGCGGACTTGCCGCCCGCGCCGCTGGAGCTGGAACTGGAACTGGAGCTGCTGGAGCTGGAGAAGCCGTGGCTGGAGCCGCGGCGCACGCGGTTGTGCTCCCTGTCGACGTCGTCCACGTCGGGGTGCTCGGAGGGCCTGCCCAGCAGCCAGCCCTTCAGCGCCGAGGCGGCCGGGTCATCCTCGTCGTCGTCGTCCTCGTCGTCGCGTCGTCCTGGAAGTAGCCCTGGTTGTCCTGCGCGGCCGGCGCCGGCTTGCTGCCCAGCGCGTTGTCCTTGGTGGCGGCGTCCTCCGGACTCTCCTTCTCCAGGAGTTCCAGCGACGAGTCTGGCGACATTCAGCCGATATCGTCAACGTCACAAAAAGTGGACGCTTATTTTGGAGCGTTGCCGCCGTGTTTGCAGCTTCGCCTCACCTCGCGGGTTGGACGACGTGCTCAGCGCGTGCAGCAGGCGCATCAGGTCCACCACGCTGATCACGCCCTCCTCGGGCTGCCCCTGGACCGCCTTCAGCTTGTCGGCCTCCTCCGTCTCCTCCGCCGCCTTGGACGCGTCGAGCGACGCGTCCCTCGTGTGGTCCGCCGGCTCCACCTCGTCGTCGCCGTCCTCTTCTTCTTCGTCGCTGCCTGAAAAGGAGCGGTTCATTGTCAGTAATGGCGCAAGCATTGGCATCATCATCATCATCATCAAAGGACGCGAATGTCTGAAGAGGAACAGCCCCGCGCCAAAAAGGACCGGTCGGGACAGCAACGCACAGGGGTGGCGCGCGTTGCCTACCCCGTCCATGACAGGCGCTCTGGACTTGAGAGGATGGACCACGAGTGATCGAACCGACTTGAGGAATACGACTCCCGTCGTAAAAATAGAGCTGGTTTTGAGAGACGGCACTAACATTGCGCACACTGCCCGAACTGCCTTCCAGAGAACCGCAACGACCGTTTCATTACCATTCATGACGTCGGCATAGATTGTTTTCTATCACACAGTGACGACTTTCAGTCTGTGGCAAGATTCTCGGCTGAGCTGAGAGTCGTGGCGGAATCACAACCATATTGTTTCAAGTCTCTAAAGCGGTCCACGGGTGCCTTGTCTCGGCCAGTGCAAACGTGTCGGCGTACAGTCTTCGCCTGGCTCGTTCCGCGTTGTATCTTTTTTATTGTGAACACGTCTGGAGTTTTTTCTATCGCCCGTTTGGCGCCATTGTTTCTGACCTCCGTGACCCGAACCGCGTCTTAGTCACGTCGGCCTGGGCCCTGCAGAGCCCATGCACTAACAGAACCAGTCTAAAAACGAGCATTTGTCTACGAGGAGACCGCGACACGCACAACAAGAGCCTGCTTTTGGTGAAACGTGCCAGGTTTCCGCTTTTGGCTGCCACCACCGAGAGGATGAGTGGAAAATTATAACGAAAATACAGTCAACGAGAGTCCACTGGGGAGGGGGCAGACTAGAGCGCTAAGAACAGGTTCCCGGTTCCGACGAAGACAGCGAAGACACCGCCAGGCCGCGCGGCCGCCGTCACTCCACCAGAACATCCGTCACTCCGTCACTTTGCCGAGAAATACCGGGAAATTAGCGCAGCGCACCGCGGCCCGTGAGATCTGTCGCTCTGTCTCGCTCGCACCAACACGGATCGCCGTCTCATGAATGCGAAAGCCCTCTTTAGAGACAGAGAGGCGAAACCGCGCTCTGGTGAACTTGCCTTGTTGCCTTCCAATCTCTGCCAAAATTGAAAAATCGAACCTGGAGGGCCCGTCAAGAGTCAGTATAAACCACACTGTTGAAAACATTGTTGGGTGGCTCGTTTTTCGAACATTTTCTCTTTAGACTCGACGGGCCACCCAGGCGCTTGGCCGGGCTGCTGTTGCCAAATGCAGGAGGCTCAGGAGATGGAAGACGACGGGGCGCCCCCCCACCCCACCCTCATTACGAATTGCCTGTGGCCTATCGAACAAGTGGGACGGAGAGAGGGAGGGAGAGAGGGAGAGAGATGCACTTGTTGGTTAATCCCCGATCCCCGGCCGCCGTGTGACGTCATGACGGCGTCCCCGACGGTCCATCCTCCGCCGCTCCGACGGCGACCTGGCGAGCTGGCAAACGCGCTGATGACGCGCGTGGCTGGACAACAACAACACGCGCTGCCACTCTCTGTGTGTTTGTGTGTGTGTTTATGTGCGTGTGTGCGCGTGTGGGAAAGAAGGGGTCGACGGCGCACGACGCGCGCTGCGCTGAACCGAATTTCTTTTGACTCGGTGAGTGCGTTCGGGGAGCCGAATTCGCGGACTGCAGTCTGCAGGGGGAATGAGACAAACAACAGGAAGCCCAGAAGCAGAGCGACTGGTGACTGGTGGACTGCTGGTGCGGGCACTCACTGCGGGGCATTCCCTGGGCATTCCCTTCGGCGGGAATGACGCGAGGGAAACGGATGCTAAGTATGATGCGAGTCGTGACAAGCAGCAGTGGGTGGCGCTTAGACGCTTAGAGCGTTTGTCGCCATGCTGGCATCATGCTGGCATTGCCCTGGAACACTCAGTTATCTGTCCATGCACCACCCCCCGAGATACTATCCTTGACGACAGCTCCAGCAAAATGAAGATCCGCGTCTTTGGGAGGCGTATTGTATCAAGCCCAACGCAGACGAATCATTTCGTGATCCGGCGATCTAATTCCAGTGCCAGCCGGTCTAGTCGCCACGTGAACCAACCTGACGTGGAGGAGTCCATGAGGCTGCGTAGCGACGTGAGCTCGTCGAAGAGCCAGGTGGGGAAGGCGCCGGAGCCGTCGGCGGCGTCGGAGGCGTCGGCGGTGTCGTCCGCGTACAACTCCTCCGACTCGTCGCTCCCGGCGTCGGCGTCAGGGGTCGGCGACGTGGGCGTCTCGGCCGGCAGCGTCGCCGCGGTGGTGGCCGCGGTGGAGGCCGCGAGGTCCTCCGACGGCATCCCTTGCGGCAGCGTCCTGTACATCGTGGTCGCGGCCTGGGCGTGGACGACCGCGGCCAGCACCACGACGGCCAGCGCGGCGCCGCGGAGTGTCATGCTGCTGCTTGTCTTGCCGCTGCGAAGTGCGTAGTACGTGTTGCTCGCGACCGCTCCGGCGCCGGACTGGCGGCGTGGCGTCGCGCTAGTCAAGTGCTCCTTGGTGCGGGCCGCGGGGCCGCGGGGCTGTGGGGGCGCGGGGACCGCCGGGCAGGTGAATCTCCAGCCTTGAAGCGAGCTCGAATGAGCAGCAAGCAGCAGCTGCGTCTGGCCGCCGGGCCGGTGGGGACGTCGACGGCACCGCCGGGATGGGCCGAGACCGCCAGGACCGTCCTCCCGAGGGGCCGCTGTGGGAGCGAGCACAGTGGGCCAGAAGACCGGCGCAGGCGGCCAAAACTCTAGGCGCGTTTTGAGCTCCAGAGTCACCAAATGGGACTCGAACCGAACGTGTGACCCCACCAATGGATTGCTCTCCGAACGAGGAATCCATTGGTGGGGTCACACGCTCGGTTCGAGTCCTGTTGAGCGACTCTGGAGCGACGAAACACGTCTAGAGTTTTGGCCGCCTGCGCCGGTCTTCTGGCCCACTGTGCGGAGCAAGCCGCCAGCCGAGCCCTCCTCCTGGACTTCCCGGCAACTCGATGCCGGGCGCACGGCCACGAACCTCTCTCTTTCTCTCTCTAAGCGAAGCGCAGGCATCAGGTCCACCTTTACGAGGGAGCCACTCGCGTCACGTCGCCCGGCCCGGGTGCAAAAGCAGCAGACTAATTCCGAAGACTCGTTTCGTCGCCCTGTCTCTGTCGCACTCATGGAGCGCGCCGTAGAGGCGCGAGAGAGACAGAGACGACTCTTCGGAATCGCCCGGAAGGTTTGCGTCACGCGCCGGTCCACACATGGCGAGCACTCGCGTGCGTCGCGTGCGCCGTGCGGCCCAACCTGGTAGTTGAACGGCTCAACAAACACGGGCACTTCGGATAATTGGACATTTTGCATTAGAATCGTCCGTGGCGCATCGAGGCGCAGCAGACTGAGCGAGAGAGACAAAGTTTGTCTGACAAACCCCAATGACAAAAGAATGGCGTGCCAATATCAGGGGGCAACGTTAGGCAGCGCCGGTGTTACCGTGGCGGTTGGGTTGCCTACCTCCCCGGCTGTTGGTCCGTCTTTGCACTTAACTTCCCGAGCATAACTTGTGTGTAAATCTGTGCTTTTAAATTGTACTGAAAGCAAAATTTGGGCCTTTGGGATTGTGTTGTTGGATTAATGCGCAAGAGAACTGTCTGTCTTCAAAGTCCAAAAAATAATGATTTCATATCGAGGAGAGACAAGATGTTTCAGTCTATTTGTTTATTTTAGTTTGTTGCATTACATAATAGCTAATAAAGGTTTACAAAATAAACTTGCATCACAAGAGTAGGTCGCAGTCAAGGAAGAAAAGGCCCAATTCGCCTCGGCGAAACATCCTTACCATATTTGTAGCGGCCGATTCAATGTTGGGCCTGACTACCATCTTGCCTAAGTAAAAACACACAAACAAGATAACAAATTAAAAGAACTCAGTGCGAATATTAGATGAAATGAAATAATATCAGAAATGATTGATTACCTGTACTTAAGTCTTTCATTTTTTTGGTAAGTTTTTCATTCAAAGCATAAAGAGTCAGTACTTCCAAAATATCATCAGATGGTTCTTTGAGACCAAGTTTCTCAACATAACTGCAATAGGATGAAAATTTCAAGTCTAAGTGGTAAAAAAAGTAGTTTAAGTCTGGTAAGAGAACGATGATTCTCATGTAAAATGTACCATTACCTATAATGCCCGTGTTTATTGAGCCAGTATAAAAGATAGTCTGCAATATTTATTATACCAACTAGATGGTCTTGCATACTTGCTGCAAAAAAAGTAAAATGAAAAACTAAAGTCAAAATTGTATTTAATAGCTACAAACTGCACTAACAAATACATACCACACAAAGCAAGACGAAAAGCAGCCTCAACATCTCGTACTTGTGGTTCCAAAATACCAGGGGAGTCTAGCAGGTAGATAAGAGGTTCATAAGAAACTTGGATTTTTGTTAAAACAGACCGAGTAACACCAGCAACAGGCCCCACCTTCGTGGCTTTTTCTAAAAGAACAAGAAACAAAAAATTAAATCAATGAAACAAAAAATTGAAAAGAGACATGGTTTGTAAATACTTACTTCTTTTTGAATGATAGTTTCTAAGTACATTTATTAATGATGATTTTCCTACATTAGGTACACCTATGACAAGAAGATTGTAGGATTTTTCACTCTGACGGTTATATCGATGGACATTCATAATTTTATTGGTAATTGTGGGAAGAACCTAAACAGAAAGGAGACCTCTTTATCATTTCTACTTCAAAAAATGTTTAAATACTCAAATTAAACCACAAACGACCTACATCCCTGACACCAGGCCCCTCTGGTGTTCTACAATCAGTAAACAGCACATCCGAGGCATATCCTTTATTTTTTACTGCATTTAATATAATGCTGTGCTGGTCTTTTGGAATTAGATCACACTTGTTCAATACTAGCAAGTGTGGCCGAACGCCTAGCAAGGTAGTTCGGAAAACCTCATTGCGTCCACTCAGAGGAATCTGGAGAGACGTTAAGAAAACGAACACACCCAACGCAAAAGCATGTTGGAAAGTTGAAAGTGGAGTTCCTATATAAGTCAAATAAATAAGCAAACAATCAAGGATACACGAGCATCATGGACTTCTAAAATGCAGTCGACGTTCATTAGTTGCTGCTGCATCTGTTTCATCCCTGTCACAGAACAAAACATACATTTGTAAGGAATACAGCAAAATCATTACACTAACCTCAAGTAAAAGGGAAACATGCCATACCTTTACCCATGTGGCCTGGAAACCACTGTAAAAAGTTTTTAGCAAATGCTTTACCGAAACTGGGCCTCAGATACTTCAGCTGAGACATGACAATCTACAAGAGGAACAGTTTTCAAGGGAAAATATCTTTGAAAAGGTGACCACGATTCCTGTATGTTTGTTGTGGTTTTAAATGTCGTCTGCTAGCATGTACCAGCATGAGAATGACTATCACAAAGAGTTATTCTACGTGAGCAATGTCAGCAAAAAAAATACAGGTGAAATTGTTCTATTTAGTTAGCCACGTCAGGTGAAGAAGTGCCACTTTCAAACTCTAATCTTGACATTAAATGACCACAAATCAGTCAATTAGCATTTTGAATGTTGGCTGCTCCGTAAAGTATTGCCATCATTTACAAACTAAAACCATTCTTTTTAATTTGAACGCAGCGTTTCTATCTTTTAATAACATTATTCTGAACTTAAAAACCTGGTTTCAGATCATGGAAATATGTTTATTACCGTTCGATTGAGCAACGTAGCGTGCTAGAAAAGAAAAATGCACTTTCTCACGTTTTCCGTGTACTTTGCTGTAGTAGTCAAAGCAGCAACATTATATTTTAATCTTCCTTTTTACACATAATTTTAAAATAAAATACTGCTGAATTAAATAAGTCAAGTGTAAGTCGGTTTAACTACTTGAACGAAATGCTCGCTTGCGTCGCCACCCCAACTCGCATTCAGAAACCTAGTTTTGACCACGGAGTCTCTCGGCATCCGCCATTAGAGCCCCTCTTCTGAGCCGAGCCGAGGGATCTGTGGAGGCCTGAAAAAAATTGAAATTGTGTGTCCAGTCCGTGGTGGAAGTGCTGTTGCAACTGTTCCAGAACGGATTACTTCTCATCAGGTAAGTACCCGTTGTGTTAGCGCCGCTCGGTGAGGCCCGTGCGAGCGTCCCGGGCCGCGGAGTGAGCGGAGAGCGGAATACTGCGCCGAGGGACGGGGTTTTGAGTGACGCATTGTATGTAGGAGTGTCCTTATCGCCATCTTGCTACTCGCCGACCGACCGGTACCTCTGGCCTCTGGCCGGGGCGTCGGTGTGGCGTCGAGCCGCAGCCCCAGGGTGACACCCTCGGCCTGTGCCCGGCAAATCCTGCATTTGGGCTCTGCGTCGTCGGGTTCTTCCCATGCGGGCTTCCATGGCCGGACCTGGCACGGGCATACCTCTGCCCTGTCGGCGCGATCAATGCCTGGCCCCGACCCGTCTCGTCGCAGGCGAGGGTCTCCACCACGACCGGGGCCGTGTTTTACGCCAAGCCGGGCTCGAGGCTCGTCGCTGAGGGCCTTGGGGACGTCCGCAGAGACGCGCCGCGCCCCGGTGGAGCTTTTTGGCTTCGGCGCTGACTTGGCGGGTGCGGCCTGTCTGGGGCAGCAAGGCACATAACCTAACTTGCTCATTGCTGGTGGGACGGCACGGGACGGCAGGGCTGGGCTCGGCAAGAATGCTGTACAGTGGGCGGTGTTCCCTGGCTGAGAAATTTTGGCTATTTTTTGTGTGTTGAACTGGTTATGGTGGTGTTGTCAGGGTTTAGAGATGTCAGTGTTGTGACATTTTATTTTGTATCGGTCTGATAAAGCCTTTGCTAAGGTGGAAAAATCTTAAAACTTATGATAAATATTAGTTTACGAGCTAAAAAAAATTTGAATGCACGCCTGAAACTTGTCGAAAATTACGTAACATATCTGTGCTTCTTCGGTCTTAAGATACTCCAATTTTTCAATGGGAATGCACTAGGTGAATAACTTCTAACTCGCTCAAAATGTGTCTATTCTTCTTCACTTATGACATAGATTTTATCGGGTTACTTAGACGATTTTTGCAAATGCTTATTGATTGTATGCCTTGAATGGTATGAAAATGTTGCAGTATCGTGTCTGTCTGTGGGGACTAACACCTTGCTGTTATTTTTTACGGCAAGTGTGATCTAACTCTTTGCATCAGTGCAGTCTTCTAGAATCGTCAAATCTGCTAGCCGTACATTTGCTTCTTAACCTGTGATCGTGAACTTGTGTGTAGGAAAGCAAGTGAATGGGGGGCGTGGGTATTGGTGGCGGTGGAGGGGCAGGGGGAGGGCACTACTCGGAATTTACTCTAGTGTATGGCACGGTGAAATTTTGATGAGGCACTCCCCTTGCCGGCGCGCCCCCTCCCCTCCCCCAGGGCCGCGGTGCCCATGGCGGTGCCGCGGGGGTGGCTCATACCCGGGCGCTGTTTTTTCTTCGGAGCTTCTCGACGGTGGCAGCAGACTGATTCCGAGTGAGAGGTCTCTCTCTCGCACTCATGGGGCGCTCCGTTCCGGTGCGAGAGGGACAGACCGACGGGCGCTCTGCGCGGAATCGGTCTACAGTGCCGCAGCCTTCTTGCGCCACCCCCTTCCCCCTCCCCCTGCCGCACCCCGTGCCCCACCCCTTTCTCCCACCCTGGGCTAGGGACCGCGGCGGCAGCGCGCACCGCGTCAGCCTGCTTGTGAATTCTCGGCATCCTCCCCGCGCCTCGTCGCCCCTCCCTCCCCCGCCCGGCCGCGGCCCGGCCGCCCCGTTGGATTTGACGAATCTAGGCGGCCGCCCCAGCGCGCCCCTGCCGCTGCCTGTGTCTCCCTGGTCTCCTGGAGGCGCCCGCCACCCTGTGGCGGCGGCAGACTGATTCCGAGAGTCGTTTTCGTCCCTGTCTCGTTCCCACTCGTGGGCGTTCTGCACAGGTGCGAGAGAGAGCGACGAGAACTACACTGTCTGCTGGTGGTCGCGGTGACACGGCCGTGACGCAGAACGGAGCTCCGAGAAAAATGGGCGGGGCGGGCGGCGCGGCGCGGGGTGGCGTACGCGCGGGGGCGGGGCCTGGCGGGGCGGGCGGGGGGGGGGGCGCCTGCTTGAATGAGAAACAATTTGGCGGCGTCGTGGAAATTCGGCGAGTGGTGCGCGCCGCCTGAAATACCTCGTGGGAGCCGCAGCCTGTCAAAATATCGCGCGCCTGATTTGAATGCGCGGCCCTGGTCCGTGGCACGTGTAAGCGTTCCTCGCCGTTACAGTGTAGCCCGAAATTTGGAGTGGGGGCGTGCGTGCGTGCTTGACGCGTTGACACCCATTGTCTCCTTGGCGACCGGTAACGAGAGGGCCCGCCTCGCCACGCCCCGGGCTGGCCTAAGGCTGGCCGGGCCGGGCCCGCGTCATCACCTGTTCAAACAGACGCGTACGGCCGAAAGTAAAAATGGCCGGCCGGGTTGTGCAACGCCATGTGCAGCGCCGCCACGACGCGGGTCTGAATGACTGCGTCCACGACGTCGGCGACGTAGCGGTGCTCGAAGCACGTGGTGCGGGGCGGTCCACGTCGTGGGGCCCAGGGGCCCATCGCTTGGCGCGGCTCGGCGCGGCCCGGCCCCGCTACGCCCCGCGAGGCTCAAGCCGGCGAAGCCGCGTCGCCGCGTCTCTTGCCCGCATTCCAGCCGCCGGCCCGACCGGCCGGCGCGGCGCGGCGCTGGCAAGGTGGAAACTCCAGCCGGATCGGCCCTCCCCGACCCTTGTCCACGCGGGGGGCGTGGCCAGGCGCGGCGCAGTGAGTCACTGGCGCGGCCTTAGCGTGGCCGGCGCCGTAGTGACCTCTGCAGTGCGCCTCGCCCCGCGCTGCAAGTGTGTGCTGACTGGGCGCCGGGGAGGGGAGGGGGAAACGCAGCCAGGGGATGCTATCAGGCTTATTTGCATACGTGGCGCTGGCTGCCGACCGACTGCCCCCACCTCCCCTTTCCTAGAGCGCCGCGACGCAGTCTAGGCGGGAGTAACGCCCCGCCCCGCCCAGCCGGGCCCAGCCTTGCCCCTGCGGGATCCAACGCCCACCTCCCCCTCCCTGTAGTACACCATCCCCTGGACGATCCTCTCCGCTCTGCTTACAACGCCCTGCCCGTCCCGACTTGATCCCCTTCCTCCACCACCCCTGCGGATCCTCTCCCCTTCCGCTGGCGTCCCCTGGGCATCTCCTGGGCCGCCGGGCCGCAGGGCCGCCCCTGGAGCCCGCCTCCCCGTCCTCTGCAAACTTGTGCCGGAAAAGCCCTGACAGGTGGAGCCTCGCGTGTCGTCGTCGGCGCTGCACGCGGCTTCCGAGCGGCACGCCCGTCTCTCTTGCACCCGCGGGGCGTGTCGTCGTGACGCGGGAGAGGGAGGGAGACGGCACCGTTCGGAGTCTGGCCGAGCAGTGTGCCCCAGTGGCGGGGAGGCGGGGTGCACTGCGGGAAGTTGGTAGTGTCTCGTCAATTTGTGTGGGTCGGGCCGATGGCGGCGGCGCGGCGCGCTTGAGGCTGGCATCGACCTGGCCGAGGCCTGGGGCGCTGGCGGGCGCTGGCGGCCTGGGCCTTGCCTCCACAGACAGGCCGGCCCGGCTGTCGGTGCAGCGCCTAGCCTCTGTGCCCCCGTGGGGCTGTGGGGCGTGCGGGGCTGCGGGGACTGTGGGCGACGATGAACAGAGGGGGCTCGGCTTGCTGCTCGGCTCCAGCGCCGCCTTCCCCCTTTTCTGTCGCGAATTACGAATCCTCTTATTGCGACAAGGCGTAAGCCGCTTTGCCGCCGAGCCATATCCCTGCCCTTTATCCCGGCCCTCCGGCGAAGGGCCTCGCCGCCCTTGCCGTCGTCATGCCGGCACTAATAAGGGCAGAAGGGCCGTCCTTGACCGGCTCCACTGCACCGTCGGCTGCATCGAAGGGCCGCGCTGGTCCGGCCCGGACGACGCGACAGCCCTTTCTGGCCGCCAAGGTGTGCGAGCTTATCTGAAGCCGATAACGCGCTGCCCTTCGGGCCCTTCGTCGAGGGGCAGGCCCTTCTTGGTCGGCTTCCCCATTTTTCTCTGGGAGCAAGGCGGCGGCAGCGCGGTGGTTATTTTTGGGGCGCGAGATGTTCGATTGGATGACGCGGCCACATCATCCCCGCGCGCTGTAGGCCCCGCTGGGGAGGGGGGGGGGGCTGTCCTATAAGGGCGGAAGCGGGCCTCTGGCGGAAGGTCGCGGGGAGGGGCTGGCGCAAGGCGGGCGTTGCTGGCGGGGCCCTCGAGGGCGGCAGGGAGTGGCCGTCCAAGGCGCCGGCAGGGCGGCGCTGGCGCTGCTTGACCTGTGACGCTGAAGGCCGTCTCTCGGCCAGGTTGGCCCGCTGGGGGCGTGTCTCGCCCAGGACACTCCCCTCGGTTCGGGGAAGGCCCAGGCCGCGACGCGAACCGCGGCCAAATTCGATCCCGTCTGATTTAGGCCCCGCTTTGGTCTGAATCCGCGAACCGTGCTCTCAGTCTCTCTCTCGCTCCTCTGCGGGCCGCCCCGTGAGTGCGAGGGAGAGCGACGAAAGCTCGCGGTTCGGGCTGCCCCCCTCTCCCTCCCCCTCCCCCGCCCCCGTCTCATTGAGAGGCTGAATATTTACGAAGCCATCGGCACTACTGGGCCGTGCCTGACGGCCGTGCCTGACGGCGGGTGACGCAGGTGCGATCAAATTTGTGCACAGCCTCTAAGCTGATGCGTTGGTGGCATGCCCCCTCCCCTCCCCGCCTCCCCTGCGGCTGTCTTGTCTGGTGACAGCAGTTTGGTTGTTTTGCGCGCCGATGCCGCGCGCCGTCGTCGTGCGTGGCTGTGGTGTGGTGGGCTCGCGCTGACCGCGGTAGACTGATTCCGAGAGGCGTTTTCGTCGCTGTATCTCTCGCGCCTGTAGGGGATGCCCCATGAGTGCGAGAGAGACAGAGCGACGAAAACGACTCTGGGCGTCTGTCTGCAGGGCGCGCGTCGAAGCTTACGCGCTGCAGCTGCGGCAAGGAGTGCCGACCAAAGCGGGAATTGAATCTTCGGCCGTCGATGTGTCTGCAACGGCGAGCATGGCCTGATGCGC